GCCTTAATATGCGTTAACGGTATCTGTCCCATTTACATCATATACTAACGAAGATACCACCAAATATAATGACATGAGAGAACAAGAACAATTTTTCCCTGCATATAATAATCGTTTCTATTAGACATTATGATGGAAGTGACAACTGCGGAAGACGCGTACGTAATAATCAGGTAATGTCACACGACACCCGTGGAACCGTTAAATACATATTTCATTAAAAGGAATGTCTTTCGAAGCTTTCAGTGTCGTATTATTATCTGAACTTATTATCATATCCTCACACGTCTGTCGTGTTTTTAATTCACGCATTTCTCACTTTATACGAATATCGTTAACATCAATTGTTAAATAATTTTTATTTCAGGTAATAATCTCAGCTTTGTCTTATCACACAATGACGAAATATCATATTCAGTGGTGTTGTAAACTCGATATAACAATAAAAGTGCATTTGTTGTGTGAAGTAAATTGTGCACTGGAAAATAAGTTTTTCCCTAGTTGATTCTGATCATTTCATTTAATAAATACCTGAGAAATCGCAGCAAGTTAGTGAAGGAAGCATCGCTCTTGTTCTAGCGACAGCCAGTTCCCAGGAGAAAGGTACCTTGAAAATGCAACAAGTAAAGAAGACAGTTCGCTCAAAGGCCATAAAAGTCTTTTCCAAGTCTTCTACACTTTACAATTTTGTCATTTCTTGATAGTTTCACCCTCGAACTGTGTAACCTGTTATCCTCACTTTTCACGAGATCACACACTGCACTGCGAAGGTACTATTTCTTTCGTATGACGATGTGACAATCTGAGGTGCATAATTTATTCATCGGCTAGTAAGTATACGATATCATCGCGTCTGTCTCCCCTGACGTGTGAAAGTCGCCAAGAAGAGGCAGGTGTCCCTCACGGAAATAATTTGTTACATCGCTGGCATCAAAAGAAAATAATAAAGCATCTTTGTGTGAAAGAGCAGAGGCCGAATATGTTCACTGACACTGCAATTTGAAATCTGCACGATAAACTACAAGGGACGAATTGACATGGAGAAGTCGCCGAACTCGGAATTGAAAGACATGTCTATTTACTGGTCGGTCTTTCTCTTGAAGGCAACAGGTCTGTGGCTGACGTCGGACGATAAAGAGGAACGCCATAGGAAATACATTTTTACGCTCAGTGGCTTCCTCCTAATATTCGGCATTTACTTGAACGCCGTTGATTGTTATTACAGCTGGGGTGATCTAAGCGTAAGTATAGACATCGATCAACGATACCACATATAGTTCATTACAAAAAACGAAATGACAATGAATGGAAAAATAAATTTGGGAAGTTTTATCTTTTCAGGATTGCATATTCTTGATTAATAATACACTGTGCATTCTGCTTGGTACGTACAAAGTAATAATTTTAAGTACTCAGAGAATGGAGTTCAGGGAGATTGTCCTGTACGCGCAGAACGACTGTTCAAATACGAAACCTTGAAAATGCATCAAGCAAAGAAGACAGCTCGCTCAAAGTCCATCAGAGTGCTTTTCCATGGCTTCTACACTTTTCAACTTTGTCATTTCTCGAT